GCCTAATATTACATGGTACAATATACAGTGTGATATATGCCTAATATTACATGGTACAATATGCAGTGTGATATATGCCTAATATTACATGGTACAATATGCAGTGTGATATGTGCCTAATATTACATGGTACAATATGCAGTGTGATATGTGCCTAATATTACATGGTACAATATGCAGTGTGATATATGCCTAATATTACATGGTACAATATGCAGTGTGATATGTGCCTAATATTACATGGTACAATATGCAGTGTGATATGTGCCTAATATTACATGGTACAATATGCAGTGTGATATGTGCCTAATATTACATGGTACAATATACAGTGTGATATATGCCTAATATTACATGGTACAATATGCAGTGTGATATGTGCCTAATATTACATGGTACAATATGCAGTGTGATATGTGCCTAATATTACATGGTACAATATGCAGTGTGATATGTGCCTAATATTACATGGTACAATATGCAGTGTGATATGTGCCTAATATTACATGGTACAATATACAGTGTGATATGTGCCTAATATTACATGGTACAATATGCAGTGTGATATGTGCCTAATATTACATGGTACAATATGCAGTGTGATATGTGCCTAATATTACATGGTACAATATGCAGTGTGATATATGCCTAATATTACATGGTACAATATGCAGTGTGATATATGCCTAATATTACATGGTACAATATGCAGTGTGATATGTGCCTAATATTACATGGTACAATATGCAGTGTGATATATGCCTAATATTACATGGTACAATATGCAGTGTGATATATGCCTAATATTACATGGTACAATATGCAGTGTGATATATGCCTAATATTACATGGTACAATATGCAGTGTGATATGTGCCTACTATTATATTAAAATAAATATGCAGTGTGATATATGCTCTATTATTGCATGGTACAATATGCAGTGTGATATGTGCCTAATATTACATGGTACAATATACAGTGTGATATATGCCTAATATTACATGGTACAATATGCAGTGTGATATATGCCTAATATTACATGGTACAATATGCAGTGTGATATGTGCCTAATATTACATGGTACAATATGCAGTGTGATATGTGCCTAATATTACATGGTACAATATGCAGTGTGATATTGCCTAATATTACATGGTACAATATGCAGTGTGATATATGCCTAATATTACATGGTACAATATGCAGTGTGATATATGCCTAATATTACATGGTACAATATGCAGTGTGATATATGCCTAATATTACATGGTACAATATGCAGTGTGATATGTGCCTAATATTACATGGTACAATATGCAGTGTGATATGTGCCTAATATTACATGGTACAATATGCAGTGTGATATGTGCCTAATATTACATGGTACAATATGCAGTGTGATATATGCCTAATATTACATGGTACAATATGCAGTGTGATATGTGCCTAATATTACATGGTACAATATGCAGTGTGATATGTGCCTAATATTACATGGTACAATATGCAGTGTGATATGTGCCTAATATTACATGGTACAATATGCAGTGTGATATGTGCCTAATATTACATGGTACAATATGCAGTGTGATATATGCCTAATATTACATGGTACAATATGCAGTGTGATATATGCCTAATATTACATGGTACAATATGCAGTGTGATATGTGCCTAATATTACATGGTACAATATGCAGTGTGATATGTGCCTTATTACATGGTACAATATGCAGTGTGATATGTGCCTAATATTACATGGTACAATATACAGTGTGATATGTGCCTAATATATTACATGGTACAGTGAATATTACATGGTACAATATGCAGTGTGATATATGCCTAATATTACATGGTACAATATGCAGTGTGATATATGCCTAATATTACATGGTACAATATGCAGTGTGATATGTGCCTAATATTACATGGTACAATATGCAGTGTGATATATGCCTAATATTACATGGTACAATATACAGTGTGATATATGCCTAATATTACATGGTACAATATGCAGTGTGATATATGCCTAATATTACATGGTACAATATGCAGTGTGATATGTGCCTAATATTACATGGTACAATATGCAGTGTGATATGTGCCTAATATTACATGGTACAATATGCAGTGTGATATGTGCCTAATATTACATGGTACAATATGCAGTGTGATATGTGCCTAATATTACATGGTACAATATGCAGTGTGATATGTGCCTAATATTACATGGTACAATATGCAGTGTGATATGTGCCTAATATTACATGGTACAATATGCAGTGTGATATGTGCCTAATATTACATGGTACAATATGCAGTGTGATATGTGCCTAATATTACATGGTACAATATGCAGTGTGATATATGCCTAATATTACATGGTACAATATGCAGTGTGATATGTGCCTAATATTACATGGTACAATATGCAGTGTGATATATGCCTAATATTACATGGTACAATATGCAGTGTGATATATGCCTAATATTACATGGTACAATATACAGTGTGATATATGCCTAATATTACATGGTACAATATATAGTGTTATATTACATGTTTCAATATACAGTGTGATTTCGTTAGATTCTACAGTATACAGTGATATTTTGTTACATGGTGCAATATACAGTGTGATATATTTATTGGCATTACTTAGTATCTTTTTATAATGCTTTTTTTTCCTTATCTAATTAATATGCATGTGTTTTTTTTGTTTTTTTTGCAGAATTAGGGAGCCTAACCACTGCTAACCTAATGGAGAAAGTGCGAGGGCTCCAGAATCTGGCCTATCAGCTTGGACTGGATGAATGTGAGTAATGAGTCATCTTCACTGCTGTATTCTTAAACATCTTATATGTAGACATCATATATTGAACGGGTCCTAAACATGTCTTAGAATTATTCATAGTAAAACAAGATACACCCAAATAGTGAATATATATAAATGAAAGTACTCTCCCATGTGTACCTCACACACACCAACATTTAAAGAATACAAACAAACAGAAAAATTGGAGAAATACACAATGACTTATACAAATGGGGTAGTATAACCTGCAATGATTAAGAATCCAGAATCCAGTATAAGTGCTTTCAAAATCTATAATAAAAAAGTAAACTGCACATATCGTAATTGTGATGAGACCAATCTTGCCACTGTGCATTGGAGGAGCCTGGTTGCCTGCCTACTGCCTTTAGACTATGTGTCAAGATTACTGTTTGATCCAGCACGTAGAACTGTACAGCACGGATGACAAATAAGTAACGTATTACCGGTCCTTAGAATGGCCGGATTTAACGTACAAAGAATAGTCAAAAATACTAGCCGAGGTCAGGGAACACAGAAAGGGACACAGCGATGAGGAAAGCCAGGAGTCAGGATACCAGAATATAGAGAAGTCAATAAACAAAGCCAAAGTCAAAAACCAGGTAGAAAACTATAAACAGGAACGCGCTCTCGGACAACCACAAGGGAAACCACGACAGGGCACTGAGCAGGCTGAGAACTGGGCCTAAATACCCCTCCTTTCTTTCTGATAGGCTGTAACCGGCCTTTGACCCCAAAGTCAGTTACCAGGTTTCATTTGCATAATTGCTGCTCAGCATTAACCCTTCTGTGGATTAGGTTGCTGCTCGGCACCACTTTTCCTGTGTGGACAGTAAATGTCATTAACCTCTTTTCTATAAGCGGATGAATACATGAGACCAGGTTTCATTTGCACAATTACTGCTCAGCATTAACCCTTCTGTGGATTAGGTTGCTGCTCGGCACAACTTTTCCTGTGTGGACAGTAAATGTCATTAACCACATTTCTATAAGCGGATGAATACGTGACACTATGGCCCCATGTTGAAACGCTTGATTTTTCCCCTGCAAAGACACGAAAGCCGGGGCATTCGGTGCTTGCCCTGTTTGAGCGGTGATACCCCAGATAGCTATGCCATGGAAGGTTGGATATTGTGGTTAATTTGAAAAAGAAACCTCAGTTATAGAGAATATGGTATGGCTATAGTAAACCACTCAACTGGAAAAAAAGTACTCCACTAAAAAATGCAGTTATAAAAAAGGAGAGAAAAATATTGGATAGAATCTAATAAAATATCCAGGAATGGTTCACTAATAAACTAATATATAATTACAATAATTACAAAGGTAGAAACAATATGTGATGGACCTGTATACAATGTTATAAACTTAAAATACTATGAATGAATACATTAAGAAATGCCAGTATATGGAAATTCAGCATTTGGTTAAAGGACCACTATAGTGCCAGGAAATACTTGTTTTCCTGGCACTATAGTGCCCTGAGGGTGCCCCACCCTCAGGGTCCCCCTCCCGCCCGGCTCTGTAAAGGGGTTAAAACTTACCTTTTTCCAGCACTGGGCGGAGAGCTCTCCTCCTCTTCTCCTCCCCGTCAGCTGAGTGCGCACACGCGGCAAGAGCTGCGCGCGCATTCAGCCGGTCACATAGGAAAGCATTATAATGCCTATGGACGCTGCGTGCTCACTGTGAAAATCACAGTGAGAAGCACGCAAGCGCCTCTAGCGGCTGTCAATGAGACAGCCGCTAGAGGGAATGGGGGAAGGCTTAACCCATTCATAAACATAGCAGTTTCTCTGAAACTGCTATGTTTATGAAAAAATGGGTTAACCCCAGCTGGACCAGGCACCCAGACCACTTCATTAAGCTGAAGTGGTCTGGGTGCCTAGAGTGGTCCTTTAAATACATAAATAAACTCATATGTCATTGCAGTAATTACAAATGTAGAAACAATATGTGATGGACCTGTATACAATGTTATAAACTTGAAGTTATAATACTATGGATAAATACATTAAGAAATGCCAGTGTATAAAAATTCAGCATTAAATTAATAAAATATATAAATCAAAAAATATGTCATTACAGTAATTACAAATGTAGAAATATTGAATAAGAGCATATATGGTATTAAAATATTATTAATATATTAAAAATATATTTCAAATATTTTTTTAAATAAATTCCAAATATTAAAAAAAATTCCAAATATAATTTTTTTTTCAAATAGAAATTTTTTTTTTTTTAAATAAGTATTAAAAATGCATAAAAACGTATTACTTTAAAATTTATTATAAAAAAGCTCTTAATTCGAAATCTACATTTAGACCTTTGGGTTCTAGCGTATCTAACTGAAATATCCATTTCGCTTCCGCTTTATCTAATTCTTTTTCTAAATCGCCTCCTCTCCATGGAATGTTTACTTTCTGTATTGCCATAAAACTAAGACCTATAGGATTTTTTGCATGTTTAAGATCAAAGTATTTTGGAGAGGTTATGTGAATGGAGTCCATTTTTAATGTTTCTAATGTGTTCTCCCATTCGTGTTTTTAAAGCTCTTTTAGTACGTCCTATGTATATCTTATCGCAAGGACATTTTAATAAATAGATTACGCCAGTAGTTGTTTTTTTTTTTTTTGGGCGTTATGACGTGTGGACGTGCGGACGTACGCTCACCGTGATGACGGAGTAGGAGGGGAACCCGCCATGAGAAACACAGAAGCAGAATTAAGAGGAAAAGAAAAGAAAAAGAGGGAGAGGGGGAGAGAGGGAGCAGAGGGAGAAAAGGAAAAAAGGAAGCCAAAAGACAGAAGTAAAGAAAAGCAAAAGCAAAGAGATATCAGAGACTCAGATACAATATGGGCGCTTAAATTTGTCCAAAAAGAAAAAAAAAAGCCCGAAGACTCACAAGAAATAGAATATTTAATTACAACATATGGAATTGAAAGAACCAAGAGTAAGACTAAAAAGAAAGGAGAAGAAAAGAAAGAAAGACAGAGAAGGACCCAGAGAGAAAGATAAAGAAAAAGGGGAAGGTGATAAATGAAAAAGAGAAATAAGAAGAGAAGGGGATGAAAAAAGGAGGAATAAAGGTGGAAGAGAAAGGAGAAAAATTTAAAAAAAACGAATAAAAGTAAAAAAAGAAAGTGAAATTTAAAGGGAAAGTGGAAGTAGAAGTTAAGGAAAGTGAAAAAGAAGGGGAAAGAGAGAAAATCTAAACGGAAAGAAGTAAAAGGAAAAGAGAAAAGGGGGGAAGAAAGGAACAGGGAGAAGAGAAAAAGAGGGAAGGGAGAAGGGAAAGAAAGGGGGGAAAAAGAAAAGGAAAAGGATAGAGAAAAGTAAGGGAAAAGAAAGAAAGATAAGGGAAGAGAAAGGAGGAAAAAGGAGAAAAAAAAGGAGGAAGGAAAGGAAGAAAAAAGGGAAGGAAAGGAAAAAAAAAAAAAAGGAGTGAATTAGAGAGAATCTATCAAAAACTAAGATTCGTATAAAGACTAATTGTTAGCGGTTTGACGTTTCCATAGTGTTGAAACTGTCATAACATGGCTTCGAAAAAACTCCAAGAAACTAAATCCTCCTCAAGGAAAGATAAAAAAGATCCCATTCAGGATAAATCTCAGGATAAATTATTAACAACTTACTTCTCCCCCCAGCAACATAAGATTACTAAACAGAAATTAAATGAAATGGATCTGAGTTCAGAAAATCTGGAGACAGACGATGTAAAAAATCCTGATAAAGATTCAATAACCATTTCCATGCTACATACCAGTCTTAAGGCCAACTTAGATGAGATTAAAGCGGAATTGGCTTTAACCGCTGCTGAAATTAAATCGGATATCAAAACTGAAATAAATGCACTTGTTGCAAAAATGGAAAGATTTGAAGATCATCTAAACCAACTTGATTATCAACTTAAAAATCTAACAGAAGAGTGCGATAAGGCTCATCGGGCTATTTCAAATTTACAAAATAAAATATCTGATTTAGAAGACCGATTTAGGTGAAAAAATTTACGCTTTAGAGACATTCCAGAAAAAGGTAGACAAGAGGATGTAAAACAGATCTTGATGGAATATCTATCTACACTGGGTGTCCCCTTTAAATCTTCAGACCTGATAATAGAAAGATGTCACAGGACATTTAAACCACAAGTAATCCAAAATGATTCCCCTCGAGATATTATCGCATGTTTCTATTCCTCTGATTTCAAAGACACCATTTTGAAAGTTGCAAGAACTAATCTAATCTCTGATGGTCCCTTCCAGAAAGTTAAAGTATTTCAAGACTTATCATTTGAAACCAGAACAAAAAAAAAACATTTAGTATCGCCACAAGATCTCTGAGAAACCACAATATAAAATATAAGTGGCTTTTTCCACTAAAACTTAGTCTCTTATATGAAGGCAAAAGAGTAGTATTTGAGACCAGTGCGAGTCTAATAGATTGGCTTAAAAGTAACAAATTATTGCAGTAGTTTTGTAATTATTTACTGTAGAAAGTTAATATGAATATGTGTGTTGGAGGGAGAGAAAAAGGGGAAAGGGATGAATATAAGCATTTTTCTCATGTAGTATCATGAGAGATGTGATCATGTTCAAGAAAATATATTGTCACTTTATATAAACCAAACTAAAACTCTTGTGAAGAAATTAACACTTGAAAAAGAAATATGTATGTCTACCTCTTTTGGTGTTTTTAGACACTATAAATGTATCATTTTCTCCACAAGTTTAATACATTACCTATTAACGGTTGGCACCTAATAGAATTAGAATATATGCACTATGTTTAAGGTAATGATAGTGTAATGAAGATATTTATAAACTCAATTAATTTTTTTATTTTTTTTTCACAGAGTTTAGACTTGTATTACAAGTATTTTTCTCATGTAGTATTATAAGAAATATTCTTACGTTCAGGATTTTTTTTTTTTATTAATCTATATATATCAAGCTAAAGCTCCCACGAAGAAACTAACACTTGAAAAAGCAATATGCACTTGTTACTTTTGTTGTTACTATACACCACAAGTCTATTAATTTCTTCACAAGCTTAATATATTAATCATCATTGGTTGGCACTTAATAGAAGTACACTATATGCACTATGTCTAAGGTAACGATAGAGTAATGAAGGTATTTATAAATTCAACTAAATTGTTTTTTTTTTTTTTCAGAATTATATTTTTGTTTAACTTATCTAATTATTACTATATACTCATTAAGACAAAAATTCTAAAAAGTAATTACACTTTAAAAAGCAATATTTGTTTGCTATTGCTGGTGTTTTATATATTACAAATTCACTAATTTATTTACAAGTCAAATATAAATAGTTGGCACTTAACAGAAATAAACTATATACACAATGTTTATGGTAAAGATAGACTAATGAAGGTATTTATAAATTTAATTTAAAATTATTTTTTTTTATTTTTTTCTCTCTCTCTCTCCCTCTCTTCCTTTTACAAGGAAGATTTACAATATGAAAGAGGGAGGTTATTTTTTAGCGGTAGGTTTGGGGTTTCCACTCTTGTGTAGTTTTGCTACTCCATTTTCATTGTCCCTATATGGTTGTCAATGATTATTATAGTATTAGGTTTTCACCTAATAGCTGGATGAATGATGATGTTGGACTTATTTATAGTCCAATGATAGGTAGTATATGTTGTCTCGGGTTTTTTTTTGTTTTTTTTTTTCAGGAAGTCAAGAATATTGTTTTGAGGTATTTCTATGTTGACGTTTTTATCCTTGAATGTACAGGGGCTTAATACAAATAAGAAAAGGCATAGACTGTATGACTCTTTGATAGAACAAAATATACAGGTTGCTTTTCTACAAGAAACGCACTGGCTTAAAGACACCAAACAAACATGGGGTGGAGATAATTTCGTAACAGTGATTCATGCCTCATTAACTAATTAAAAATAAAAAAGGGGTGTGGCAATTATATTCAAAAAAGATATTAAGGTAGATATTCTACATACTGAACTCGACCCAGAAGCAAGGTTTATTATTTTGGTATGTAAGATCGAAGATAAAATCTTCACATTGGTCAATGTGTACTTACCCAATGTTGATCCAATGACTAAGTTTTCTCTGATAATGGACAAAGTTGATAAAATTAACAAGGGATATTTGATTATCGCGGGAGATTTTAACTGTGTTAGTGATCCATTCCTGGATAGAACTACGGTATCTACCGCGCTTAATAATACAGGACCTACTAAGCAAGCCAAAAAATTAAATAATATTTGTAGCCAATATAATTTATATGATATCTGGAGATTACTTCACCCCCTTAAAAAAGATTATTCCCACTTATCTGGTGTCTATGGTACTTACTCTCGGATTGACTTTTGTTTAACAAATGCTAATACAATTCCGCTCTTTAATCATATTGATCTTAAGGAAAACACATGGTCAGATCATAGTTTTGTTTTATTTGATCTTGGCAACTCTCCTCCTCTCTTTCGTAATACTTGGAGATTGAATGATGCAATTTTAAAGGACTCCAAGCATAGGGAGGATTTGACCAAATTATTAGAATATTTTTGGGCAGAAAATAATCCACGAGACACTTCTCCGTTAATAAATTGGTGTTCTCATAAATCCGTAATGAGGGGTTATATAATTAAAATAGACCACTTCCTTAAGAAAAATAATGGTACAAAATTGCCTGATTTATATATTGAATTCTACTCATACTCTAAAATGAATAAAATACAATCTTCTCCTGAGCTGAGAACTCATCTAAAAGACCTACAAATTCAAATTAATCTAAAAGAAAAGGAAAAAATCAAGTTAAATATAAATAAACTAAAATTCAATCACTATATTTCGGGCAACAGAGCGAGTAAAAGTCTAACCAGGAGGCTTCGTAATCAATATGCCAAAAATAGAGTAGAAAAATTGGTAGTAGATCAAATTGTATACACCTCTCCATCGGAGATTGGACAAAAGTTTAATCAGTTGTATCAAGATTTGTACAATCTAAGCTTGTCCCCAGAATTAAAGGACATTAAGAGTTTTCTATTGAATACCCAAATCCCGAGAATTTCTCCCCAGGATCTGACCAATCTGAATAAAAAAATTTCTCCAGAAGAAGTGCAATTTCAAATTGATAGATTAGCCACAAATAAAACTCCCGTCCCTGACGACTTTACAAATCTATATTATAAATATATGAAATCGTATCTTCTAAAACCCCTTACTGAAATGTTTAATCAAGCAGCAGAAAATGAGGTCATACCAAAGGAATTATTACAATCAAATATTGTCCCTATTTTAAAACCGGGCAAAGATAGTACGGACCCAAGAAATTATAGACCGATCGCATTAATTAATGTTGATATGAAAATATACTCAGCTATTATTGCCGAGAGATTGAAAAATGTTATTACTAAACTTATTCATCCAGACCAAATAGGGTTCATCCCAGGAAGATGGGGCATAAAATAACACCCGAAAGCTAATAGATATTATTGGTCTAGCTAAAGTTCATAATGAGCCCCTCCTGGCCCTGTCTTTGGACGCAGAAAAAGCATTCGACAGGGTCGGGTGGGGCTATTTAAGAGAACTTCTTAAGGCATATGGCTTTAGGGGTTGGATATATTCCGCAATTATGGTATTATATTCCGCTCCTTCGGCCAGAACTGTAGGTCCCAATATTACTTCGACTTGGTTTGACCTTAAAAATGGAACAAGACAGGGATGTCCCTTGTCACCGCTTCTCTATATTTTATCTCTTGAACCTCTTGCTGTTAATATTAGAAATAATCAGTCAATAAAGGGGGTCTTTACGAAACTACAAGACATTAAAATTGCATTATATGCCGATGATGCTTTGGTTACCCTTACATCTCCAGAAGATTTATTGGTAGCACTAATGGAAGAAATTGTTAATTTTTCTAATATCTCCAACTTCAAGTTAAATGTTTCAAAATCTACTGCTTTAACTATCAATCTATCTTTGACTCAGGTTGAAAGGCTATGTCAAAAATATCAGTTTATTTGGACTGATTCAGAAATTAATTATTTGGGCCTTAGTTTCCCTGCTTACGCCTCCCATATAATGGAGAGGAATGTTATGCAGTTAATGAAAAATATGAATCAAAACCTAAAAAAATGGAAAAACTTTATGGACAGGTAGGATTAATATTATAAATTCTTATATTTTACCAAAATGGTCGTATTTGTTTTTCAATGGTTCCTCTTAAAATCCCTAAGGTGTGGCTATTTATGATACAATCCGCCATTAATAAATTTATCTGGAAAAATAAAAAGCCTAGAATAAGTCAAAAATATATTTCCAAAAAATTGTCCCACGGAGGGCTAAACTTTCCAAGTATTACTAATCTTTACTATGCCAATACTATACGACATATTTATATTTTACAAGAACCATCTTTTTTTTCTGAACCTTGGTACATTCTGGAGTCCGAAGCTTTACATGCATCTAGTCTCTATTCTTATATATGGTCAGATCCTGGGAAGCTCTTAAGGGATTTGCCTAATTGTTTAATATCATTGGCTCACTCTTTGGAAATATGGGTTGAAATTAGGAAAATTTTGGGCTTAAGTTATTTAATTCCTAGAACATGTAAATTTAAATATATTAGAAAATAATGTAGAGGATTTATCACTGAGACATTGGCCCAACAAAGATACATTAACCTTATCGGATATTATGCAGGGTGATAATATTCTACCATTTCAACAGATTGTGAATAATCTCCATATACCATCTAAAGAAATATTTACATACGTT